GATCTATAGAGATACCTTTTGTTCTGTATATTGATCTATAGAGATACCTTTTGTTCTGTATATTGATCTATAGAGATACCTTTTCTTTAAAAAGATGTCGACATTTGCTACAACATTAGTGGAAGTTACAGTTACGAACTCACAAGTACTTATTATGTATGTTTATTTTATTACAAAAATCGCTTTGCATATTGTTCATTATCCAAGAGTAAAATCGTATTATATAGAAAATGTGATTATGAGTTAATTGATGCATAATTATTGCTAGCTGTATTAACTAATTTTATTTTTCTAATTGTTTCCCCTTCTTTCCGCTGTTTATAACTCACATTAAACTACTATATATTTTACTTCTTAGGTATTAAAACAAGCTTATATTGGATGATGCCTCAATCTTACGACCTACTTTCAACCTCGAATGAAAACAAAATGAGCTCACTGAATTTGACAGTGATTGGTGTTGACAACAGAATAGCTAACTGGAAGTTCGGTAATTGTCTTCACTTTTAATACTGCTTTTATTATATTCCAATGTGTAAGCTACTTGTTGTTACTTGTCTGAGTTCGGTAATTATCCTCACTTTTAATACTGCTTTTATTATATTCCAATGTGTAACTTATTTAAAATTGAGGACAATTACCGAACTCAGACAAGTAACAACAATACTGTTTCTATTATATTCCAATGTGTAACTTACTTGTTGTTACTTGTCTGAGTTCGGTAGTTGTCCTCACTGTTAATACTGCTTTTATTATATTCCAATGTGTAAGTTACTTGTTGTTACTTGTCTGAGTTCGGTAATTATCCTCACTTTTAATACTGCTTTTCTTATATTCCAATGTGTAACTTACTTGTTGTTACTTGTCTGAGTTCGGTAGTTGTCCTCACTGTTAATACTGCTTTTATTATATTCCAATGTTTAAGTTACTTGTTGTTACTTGTCTGAGTTCAGTAATTATCCTCACTTTTAATACTGTTTCTATTATATTCCAATGTGTAAGTTATTTGTTGTTACTTGTCTGAGTTCGGTAGTTGTCCTCACTGTTAATACTGCTTTTCTTATATTCCAATGTGTAAGTTACATTGACTTTTGATATTGACTTTAGCAGTTAATGGGCTGATCAACTAATTTCGAAAATATTTAATTACATGATGCAAAATATCCCAAAGAGTTCAGTTTGATTAAATTTTTCATGAAGTTTCTGGGAAAAACTAAAAAAGACTATCCGAGATTTTTTTTACTTACAGCAAAAGCTCTTTTGGTATTTTTAACATTTTTTAACATCCCCCCCCCCAGTGGCACAGCGGCATGTCTGCGGACTTACAACGCTAGAAACCGGGTTTCGATACCCGTGGTGGGCAGAGCACAAATATCCCTTTGCGTAGCTTTGTGCTTAACTACAAACAAAAATTTTTTAAAAATGATATTTTTTAAAGATGCACTAAATATTTAAACAGAAGTAATTCAAAATTTATTCTCAAACATTACTAGTTATAATTTTAAACAAAGAGAAAAAGAATTAAACATAAAAGAATAGCCGGTTTTCCCTCTTCTATCATTCAACACAGCGTATATAAAACTGAACCAATGATAATTCATAATTATTAAATTAAACAAATAACAAAAAATATGCAAACAGTATTTTCCTTTATCGCTAAAACTATAAAAAATATCGTCAATCTCGTCACTTGCTACAGCATAATTCTGATTGTTACTGTGCTCAATAATATTATCTTGAAATAGAATATACCCGTTATCTCAACCAGTAGCATTTAGTGAACAGTATACATATGTATACTTCAATCATCATTGGGGTTGTCAAGGGCCTTGTTTTGTTAACTTTTTATATTACTGTTGTTTTTTGTCTGTTCCAGTATATGGCTTTTTTAGTTCACCTTGTCACGATCCTCAGAATATTTACTTGTAGCTTCTTCCTTTAAAATCGCTTTAGATTATTTGCACAGGTAACCAACTTTTAATAGGACCATCACCTTTATGCAATAACTATACATCTATGGCACAACTCATTGATAACTTCATCATAAACATCAGGTCCAAATCCACTAGGGAATCAAGGGAAAATTCTGAAGTAGAAAACCACATCTTTCTTACGTTCATTGTCTTTAATATGAAGTATTACCAGGGTGTCTTGCTGTTCTGGAAAGCTTCTGACTCTCTTAAGTATTTACAGAATGGTGTCAAAAATCCATTTGCTCTGCTTGTTAGTGTTACTGGAATTTTTAGTGAAATTCATTCACCACGTGTATCTCACCATTCTACTGTCCGAACTGCCTAACTAGTGCCATGAAGTGTGTAGAAATAACCAAACTTCGAGGTTGGTCATGATCATTATGATCTAGTTTTAGTGACCACATGTTTATGCATTTGTAAAATACCTGTTATAACTGAACCTCAACAACAAAAATTTTTTGTATTCATTTCTCAGCCTTTTTGTGTTAATTATGGTTTTAGATTATAGGCAGATCTGTAATCAACGCTGGGGAAAACACGTTTCTCTCTTTTCTCTTCTACATTCTTAAATAATGTCTGGACCCTAATGTAGTAATTTTTACTGAAATCTTGGAAAATTACTCTTCCATGATGATTATAGTTTACAAAATTTACAAAAGTAGAATCCTAAAAACAAAAAGCATTTAGTATTCGGATATTTCTGCAACAATATCAAATGGCCACAATATACTGGAAGTTTCGAGAATGTTAATCAGCAAACACATAAAATGGAAGAAAATAAACAAAGACAACTGTACAAGTAAAATAAAACTATTTACTCATAGAAACAGAAATGTAGATCACAGTGGTGTTCTGCCAACGATTCCAGTTCCAATATTCGTTCTTTGAGAACTTATTGACTATAATAGCTGGAGAATATACATTTATGCAATACAAAATCAGAAGCATTTGAAAGTCTTCGCGCATTATAAAATAATTTAAACTTACTATTTGATTCTTTAATTACAAATCAAGACCTGAAAAAGGACGCTTAACATTAATTATTAGTTCCATACATTTCCTGACCATTTATATTTAAATCATCCCCAAAGGACGATATCATGAAATAATTAAAACTTACTGTTTGAATATTTCATTGTAAATCAAGTGATTAAAGATTTTCAGTAAAACATTCTGCACAGTATTTCTTTTAACAGTCTATTAATTTTCACACAATAAAGGTTTTGCAATCTGATCTAAATAGGCTGACCTATTTAGATTTTAAGAATGCGATTTGAAGGAACATATAACAACGTTGTGTTAAAATGACCTACGGCTGTCAAAGCTTTAAGGTCACATTCTTTTGTGTGAAGGGTTAGTAAGACTGGGCAATTCAAGGCAAGGACGTGTCACAATTTTTCTTGTGAACCCTTAATTTATATTTCGCGAGTGGGGTGTAGAGAAACAGAAAGACGTTTCTTTCTATGATCTTCCCAAGATGACAATTGTCCCTGGAACAAAAGGAGACAGAACGTTTAAAACACTTGTTTTGTTACGTATCTGCTTGTTTGTTAATTCGAGAAACTTCAGCGATATAAGTCCTTTCTTGATTAAAACTAGTTTATTCTTTTTTCGTTACAAACTTTTATAACACATGCTATAAATCACAGTGATTCACACACTTTACTTACGGTGATTACTGTTCGCTTGACTCAGTTATCTATCTCTTCATTCTATCTATCTATCTATGTCACTGAGTTGAGTTTGTCCTGGGGGTGCTCGAAGATTAAGCAATCCTCCTTCACCCCGCTCGTGGTAAAAGGTTACATATCGTTTAGTGGTCAGCGGAGTACTGAGCGGATGGGCTAAGGATAATTAATTAAACAAAAGAAGGGGGTAATTTTGGATATTACAGTATTAAAAATTAAAAAAGTGAAGCAGAGTAATCTAAGGCTAAACAAACAAAAAAACAACTGCTTTCTTTGCCAGGCCTAAAAATGAGGACGTCTAGCAAACACTCGGACATTCGCGGAGTTCCGCGATAATTCTAGAAACTTCAGCGCTCATGTTCCCAGCGTCACGCAACTTCCGCTGTCGTAACAGTTTGTTTGTAGTTAAGCACAAAGCTAAACAAAGGCCTATCAGATAAAGAAGACAACGAAGACAAAATAAAATGAAACCGAAAAATTGAAATTTTCTTACAAGCTAAAGAAAAAACGCATCTAAGAATGTTTTTGTGTGTGTGTGTTTGAAACGATAAGCTGGTGTTTCCAGTTGAATTGGAATAAAATATTGTAAATATCATTTTGTTTCGCATACGTATATTTATTGGGAGGCAGCATATATATATATCAGTTGTCTAAAAGCCGGAACCCTAAATAAAATAAACATTGTAAAAATATAGGCGGTCGTATTGTAATTTATGTTATATATCTGAACAAAGTAGAATCTAAAGTAGTGTTATGGAGAAGTTGTTATGTACACAACATATAAGTTTATTTACTTTGTAATGTAACTGTGTGTTTATCTGATGAGATAATCTATATATATCTCCACTTTCAATAAAGCCTAACATTGAACTTTAATCAAATATTAAAGATTGTTTTGGATTATACTGAACATATTATCTTGATATTAGATATAAGTTTAAATATTTTGATAATTGGTGTTTGTCTATAATGTTAAATCAATTCTTTTCAATGTGATGTTAATAATTTATCTAGTAAATGATGAAATGTTTTAAGGAAAGTAACACATCTGTTTTCATTTTAACTGCTGTTACTATTTTCTACAAGTGTTATAAAACACACACCCCACACCTTCATCCGTGAGCGTGTAATAGAAATGACAGTCAACTACGCTATTTGAGTATCCGTTTAGGCAGTGAGTGCTACAGGCTGGTTGTACTTCATACGGTGTCATCATTTAAAATTATGGACAGCTATGCCTAACCCTTGGAATATCTGAACTGACTGTTTTTTACGTGTGTTCCAAGATGTTCTGTTTAGGTTACAAATACTAAAAGCCCATAAATATTCAATAGATAAACATATCCTAATAATGTATATAGTTTAAGCAATTTTGATTATTGGATTTTTTTCCAGCAGAGATTTTGTTTACAGATATATATATATGTGGGTGTGTGTTTTCCAAAACTTATTGAATGAATGTGTTTTATTCATAAAGATAAACTTACAAAATGTTGTTAATTAAAACACAGTCAAAAGTAAAACAATATCTTAAAGTATGTATTATAAAGCTTCTATCCCGACATCTTCTTGTTTTCCTTGTAAACTGGTGACATTACCCTTCAACGTTCTTGGTAATTTTGATAAGTTACTCATGCCTTTTTACCTCTTTGAATCTTATTGAAACTAGACGAAAGTGTGATTACTTTAAAGTTTTATAGGTATATAAGTACAATATTAATAAACTTGTACATTAATTGAAAATATTCAGTACACACTGTCTAGGTAAGATGCATGAAAACAACATTAATTCAGAACAGTCAATATTAAGGAACCACAATGCAATACGATTATCAAAACAATTGAAAACCAATGGAGAACCAAAACTCCTCTGAAATCTCACGTGATCCAATACATTGGTGAAGAGGCCGGTAAAAGGCACAATTTGGAAGTAAATACACAATAAGTTTACTGTTTGAAATAGAAAATGTAAAGGTTAAATCCAATCTATTATTCGATTGCTTTGAGTCATTTTAACTCAATAACAAATAGTGAATCATATTATGGATTTGAATTCATCAGGGTTAGTAATGAGGGGTGGAATCACAATGACAAGTGAAAAAAAAATCGAATAATTAATAAACATACATAAGTAATCGTACTGGCTATTAACCCTGACAGATATTGATAGCTCGTTAGCACAATAAATCTGCAAGTTTCTTAATAATTTATACCAAGTATACCTTCATTTTTTATCATATATTCTAAAATTAAATGTTTACACTATTTAATGTCGTAGGTTTAAACATGTAGATTTGTAAAAAAATGCCATTTGTATCTGACAGGTGGAACTTCAGTTGTAGTAATTAGTAAAGTAACAAGAGGTACTTTGTTACAAAAGTGTGTGTTTTCTGACAGGTGAAACTTCAGTTGTAGTAATTAGTAAAGTAACAAGAGGTACTTTGTTACAAGAGTGTGTGTTTTCTGACAGGTGAAACTTCAGTTGTAGTAATTAGTAAAGTAATAAGAGGTACTTTGTTACAAGAGTGTGTGTGTGTTTTCTGACAGGTGAAACTTCAGTTGTAGTAATTAGTAAAGTAACAAGAGGTACTTTGTTACAAGAGTGTGTGTTTTCTGACAGGTGAAACTTCAGTTGTAGTAATTAGTAAAGTAACAAGAGGTACTTTGTTACAAGAGTGTGTTTGTAATAACTAAAACTAGGTACTGTTATGCTGGGCGTGAATAACATAGATTTATATTGAACTAATCATTTTCAACGAATTAATTTTGTTACAGATGCTCAACAGCGTGAAGGAGATGATATCAGACCTGATGATAACGTTTGGTTAAATGTCAATAAAATTAGAGCCACAGTGAACAGTCAATCAAGATATGGGCTAGCTAGATTGATCGTTCTCGATGACTGTAAGTATATTTTTTACTGGTTTCACTTGTTGTATAACACAGAAATACTTAACATACATCTGACTTCATTTTAGTGTGAAATTTCTCACGAGGTGTCAGTTAAGTCGTGTGTAAGATATGTTTTTTTTAATTAGAATGCAACTTTTTTATAAGTTATACTTTCTTTATAAGGTCGGGGGATAGTGTATTTATTTACTCAGAACGTATTCATTGTGGTTATGTTTCCAGTAATATGCTTATCATCAATGATAATATGATATTGGATATTTGTCCACTGTGCCAGAATTTCCTGCTGATTATCCAACTTTCGGACAACTCAGAATAACTACACAACTAACAAAATATATTATTTTATGTTACATCTACGTTTACATGGTGAAACTTTGCAATA